ATATCCCAGAAACAGGGACAGCTGCAAGGGGCTTCGTCTTTCTGATGAGCAACTTAAAGAGGCACTCTGCTGCCATTCACCATTTCCCTCACCAAAGCTCCTCAAAGGGCAATTTACCATATCAACTTCTTGATCTAAACTTCTTGATCTAAAAAAACTTGCCATGGGGAAATTGTTTGAGGCAGACTCTCTGGTCCTATCTCCAAGCAACTTCAGAGTGGTAACACCTCTCTTTTTCCATTTTGAAAGGTGAACAAATAAACTTCTTAAAACTGCGCTCAGTTACGCTTCCTGATTCAACAGCACAACAGAAAGTACCAGCGTTTGCCCAGAACTATCAATACGAGAAATCTGCAACACAGACAGGTAATTAAAACATACCAACACAATACTCTTCACCCAGAAATTGCCACAATTCCTCCATCACACCCTCATGCCGCTCCCCAGCTATGCCCCTCTCAGTGGCACTTTGCAGCTCTCTCACACTGGCACAGCGTGGGCACTGCAAACACTGAGGGCGCGTGTTTGCACTGGAACCTCTCCTACTAATCGAGGTTTTGGCTTTGTTGGGTTGTTTTTCTTGGGGAATGGAGAGAGAAAGCATCAGTTTTTCCTCTAATAATATTTGGGCCAAGAGTTAATTCTCAGCAATTAAAAACAAAGGCCAAACCACATTTTTCCACAAACAGCTAATGGTCTTGGATCTGTCAATGTAACTAGCACATAGCTGATTTTTCAGAAAATAAAAAGCATGCCTGCAATAAGACATGACAAATAGCAACAGCTATAACAGTTGTTTAAAAACAACTTATTTTCACAAATTCCTTTACTTTATAAAGACTTACAGGTTTCCTGAAACTTTTAAAGAGACAGAGCATTACATAATGTACAGTGCAACATAAGGATTCATCTTCTATACCCCAGCAGCGGATTAATGGAAAGAGCAGTAATATTGAGCCCTTGGGGTTCAAAAAGAATTTATTGTATTTTATAGGCTGGAGATCATGCTGCACATCACAAAGGACATGGTTAGCCAGCAGGAAGCAAGTATCTTTCAGTTAGTGAAGTAGAAAAGGCTCTGACCAGTATCATTCCCCACTGATGCCACAACTGTTCATGTTGTACCACAAAGGTGAAGTTGTTAAAAGACAGCAACAACCAGCTCAAGAACATAATTGAGAAAGAGAGGATATTTTAGCTTAGATTATGAAGAGGTAATACAGATGTTATTAGCTAAACACTACTAACACCATAGTGAAGCTGGATGTAGATGCTGCTCTGAGTTCAGCAATCAGAAGGTAGATTATGCCTATGTAACACCAAGTATGTTGACTGCAGAATATGTGCTCTGCTCTGCTGGTGATAACTACGGGCCAGGCAGATAGGCAGGAGGCAAAGAAACTTTCTTTGCCAGTCCAGGTCTGGGAAAAGGAGGGATAGAAGATTCAGGACTTGGTGTTTGAGATCAGACATGCTGGGTCATTTTTGACTGAAAGCAAAAACTGAGCACTGGGAGCTCACGCAAAGGAGATCCCTGTTCTCTTCTCCTCTTTTCCAAAAGCTGGTGAGGTAGGCAGGAACGCCTCAGAAGGAAGACAACTCCAAACCTAAGCTGGCATTTAAAGCTCTTCAGGAAATTACATAAATCCAGGGCAGCCCCTCAGCTTGTTTAATTGAACATCACTGGTAATTCCCTCCTGCCTTACCTGCCTCTTTAGAGAAGGGAGCACGTGTGTATAGAGCAGGTTTACCAGAGGGAACAACCAGAAGTCAGCACACTTCTGCTGCTCATGCCACTAGTTACTGAACAGCTGTCATCAAGGGAAACAGGGCCTCAGCTTTAATAGCTCAGCAAGGACACATCAGGAGAAATGCTGCTGGGGAGACTCCACCCTGCAAGCAGTAAAGGCAACAGGTACACGAGGCTCTTCCCCAGCTCTCAGGAATGCAACCTACAGACAATTAAGTGTGGGACTTGCTGACACAGGATGCTGAGGGTGCCATGGGTAGCAAAGTGGCTGTTTTATTCTGCCCTGAGTTTGTCCATGAAGGACAGTTACATAAAGTATCTGTTTTGGTGAAAATTTTCCGATTCACAAACAGCCAAAAGAGTGTACTAGAAAAGTATCATCACACATTTATGCTGGGAAGATGAGGGATCTGCCATTAGCTGCTTAGGAGACACAGGGCTAGTTCAGCCTGGCTGCTCCTCAGCATGAATAGAGGCTGTTTTCTCATCTGCAGAAAACACCTTCAAAGTACACAGAGTCTTTGACTAAAAGGCCCACAGCATTTGCTGCGTTTTCACCACTAATAGTCCTGTGAACTGGACTTGGTACCCCAACAGCCAAAGGTCAGGCTTCTCTCCACAACTATCACTGCCATCAGACCCATAACCTGGGCGCTGAAATCAACTCAGTTCTTTCCTTTGAGTCCCCAGATTCTAGTTGTCTGTGTAACACCAGAACAAAGATTTTTCTCCCAACAAGAAGCTGAATTTCTCTGTGACAGCCACACATCTTGTCTGGCCTCCTGTAGGATCCCTCCTGGGCTGCTCTTACCTATGCACACTTGTCCATTAGAGTCACCGTTTAAGTCAGGCATCCTCTCTAGGCATCTTTTGACTAGTTCTCACCTCTGCTGTAACAGAGAAACAACTGATGTTGCTTCATGGAGGATGATCCTTCTGCCACCCAACCTTGGTATGCTGAATGAGAAAGGTGTTCACTGATGCCCCTAGTTGACTCCCAATCTTGTTCTGACACTTTTTCATTAAATTTCCCAACACCCACCCACTGTCTTGAGTTCAAGCCCCTCCAGGCCATCTGCAAGTTTTCTTCAGGCACTTCAGTGCCCTCTTTGTACAAGGCTAAAAATCTTGTGACAATCCCATCTCACCTGGAGCAGCACAGGTGCAAGCTCAAAGAAGAAGGCAAGGGCCTCATCTTTGTTGATCAAGATCCTTTGTCTTGAAATCAGCCTCACACAAATAAAAATTTGTAGCCTTATGTTGTCCTCAGCTCCCCCACCATACACTGGCACAGCTAAAATATCAAACTAGAACATCAAACCTCCTGAGCCTTTTCTCCTTTCAAAGGAGAAACTTCTCTTCAGTAAAGCATTCACTCACACTGCTTACTGAATACATGTGACAGACAGTGATTTCTTTTCCAGCTGAGCCAGTAAGTTCTCTGCAGTACCTGAAACCTCCTTATCCAGAGGGCTACAACTGCAGTGGGCATGCATGAAGTTCAAGCATCTTCTCCTCATCCCGGGAAATTCATCTCCAATATCTTGAGAACTGCACGTCCCTACCTCACCCCCATAATATTTTCTAGGCCACATGTTAGCAACGGGACCTGTGGGAGAAGCTTAACCTCACTATTCTGAATTTGCAAGATGCACTTAAAGGGCAAAAACGGTCTGCAAATATTAACAAGTAGGAATGAGTATGGAGAGGATTTCCAGGCATCACAACTCACTGTAGAAGCCTCTCCATGGCTGGTGCTGTATTGGTTTTGCCCAGGAGGGATGTATGAGACCCATGGACAGTTTGGCCTTTCTGCAAATGTTGTTAAAACAACAAACAGAGCTGAGGCAGATGGTGAAGCCAATTTCCAAGAAGACATTTAACCCATTCTCTGCCTCACAGAGATGAAAACTGCCATGTGCACAGGTGTGTGACACTTGGTTACCTCTCAGCTCATAATCTACCCTGCTAACAGCGGGTACAAAAGTAAAAATTCACTCCTTCACTGAGCTAAGGAGGTGTTGGTTGTGCTACGCAAAACACTTCTCCTGAAATGCCAGTGTAACCTAAGCACTAGAAAAGGATGAAACCCATGCTCCTAGTAGAGAAACTTCTTGGCTGTCAGACCACTAAGGGGGACACAGGTAAAGTCTTGAATCCAGGTACTCCTCCCTCCCAAAAGAAGAAAGGATTGGTCTGAATGTACAAGATATCAGAAATACCCTCTCCCTTTCTCATTCGGGGGGGGGGGGGCAATCACAACAAAATATTAAAAGCTTCAGATTTCTACACGACAGAAAACTAGAGAAAGTTTTGAGCAGCCACAAGCCTTGAACTGCTCCTTCACAAAGTGGGATAACATGTGCAATTGAAGGGCACCCGTTCCCTGCCTCCCAGGCACAGCTTAGTGCAAGGAGTAATCAAAGCAAGGAACAGCATTTGAAGCAAACTTGGAAGCCAATGCTGTTTGAGAAGTGCTTTTGTTCAACATGTAGGATTGTTCTGAGAAGGGTAACATTCCTGTAGAGGGGTTGTGCAGTGGGATATTCCCCTCTTTGACAAAGCTGTCACTGACTCAGAGGCCCACAGCAGGAACAATGATGTAGGATTACAGAAAGGGGCAGAGGGGAATAGGGATGTTTATGAGAGATAGAGGAAAATTTCCTGCCAAATGTTTTTAGAGAAAAATTTCTAGTGGTCTTCAAAACCATGCAGCAGGAAACCCTTAGTTTTTAATCTGACCAGCTCAAGGCATCCACTTCATAAGAAAACATCACAATCTCAAATATTCTAATATTCGGCTATTACTCTAAATGAGCAGTTTCCAAAATCAACGAGCCACTAGAATTAGTTAAGCATCTTGCAGAACCACATCAGAACCGAGAGCAAGTTTCTTCAGTTCAACATTTGCAAAGACCTCGAGTGATCCAAATTGAAACATTAACATACTGTTAATTAAGCATCCCCAGCTCTTGAAAACCAATCAATAAATTCTCCTTCCTCTGTCATGGGAATAACAACTGGTTTTTGCAGTGATATACAGTGCCACTGCACTCAGTGAGCTCTACTCTGCTGCTTTAAAGCAAAAGCAGGAAGTCAGAACAGAAAATTCCTAGGAAGAAACTCTGCTGAGACACAGAACTCGCAAACTCCTTCAGACTTCCTTCTCAAATAATTCCTTGCCCCAGTGAGAGAGACTTTCTTCCCTCCCTCCACACCATTTTCTCTCCCTGTAGGTGTCCCCAAATACCTTGAGTAGCAGGACAGTATTGCTCCCCTTCCTTGGAACCGGCAGTGTACTCCACAGCAAAAAGCTAGCGGAGAAGGAACTCCGCCACTGTAAACAGAGTATCAGAGCCGGTCCAAGCTGGGAGGTGTGGTTTGCAGTGTTCCCTACGCATCTCATCCCCTTTCCAACACAAGCTGGTAGCCATCAGTTCAGAAAGCAGCACAAGAAAACCTGCCCTTAAGCTTCCAAGGTAAATTCGTTGTAATCCTGCCTTGCACACAGGTGTGAAAGAGAAGGGCTTGTTTCTGATCTGCCTTAGGCGAGAGAGGAAGAAGCGATAAGCAAGCAGATGAGCCCTGGTCTCATGCTGAACTTACCTTCCCTAAGAAACTCTAGCTGTGCTTGTAGGTAGCTCTCTGCCTACCTCCCATCCAATTTCCACAAGGGAAGAGCTGGAAGCTACCCCTGTGAATCCTGCCTCAAGTTTAATTCCACTTTTACAAGGCTGGCAACCTGTTTCACAAAGACAAGCACAGAGAGTGTAAGAAAATAGAAAAAGCATAAGATGACAGGGCAAGGAGCATGTTTCCAAAGCACCGTAAAGCACACCCCAGGGGTGGGGTACACATCCCAAGACTATCTCACTAAAGCAGCCAGAGATGCCACCCTCTATTCTGCCACTGACCAAAGCATCACTCTATCCCATAGCAACCCAGAAAGGAAGCAAAGCCACCCTGCCTGCTGATAGCTGGAGATGCTGATGGGGATTTGTCACTCAGCAGCAGCTCCAGAACCCCCTGGCAGCATGAAGATGTCCTCAGCTGTGTCAGCTCCCACTAGTTGAGCCTGACGTCTTCTCAGGAAAGGTGACAAAGGAAAAGGAAAAAAGAGCATGTCTACACCCTGGCAAGCTGGCTCTTCATCACCTGGTATGATTTTGTCCTCTTTTCTCACTCTTACCCCAAATGCCTCTTTGTGTCAGCCCTCAAGGATATATTTGCTCAGAAAACAAGCTTTGCCATAGTCACAAGTGGGCAAGCCCAGCCTCTACAGAGAGTAAAAAACCCCTCTTCCACCAGTTTCTACTGAGAAGGCTCCAGCTGGTATCTGAACAGCAAGAGACCTCATCAGCCTGCAAAGAGAGGAGCTCCAAATAGCCCCATCCTACCTGCAACAAGCAGTTACGGGACCTGCAGAAAGCAAAGGTAAAGACAGGTCCTTCCCTGTTATTTTAGGATGGTTATTTCAAAACCCAGATTAAAAAATGGGCATGATGACAACTACAAGCCATCACAATTGTCTTTAATACAGGTTTAACAGGGCCAGAGAGCTCCCCTGAGCCATCTGGAAGGGCTCTGTGATGCCAGAGGGCAGCTCTGCTCCACTCTGACCAGGACAATCACCGCTCCACTCCTCGGAGGCTCAGCTTTGCCTCAGCCCCAGGACCACACATCCTTTGGGGAAAGCTCAGCAGTGTGGCAAAAAAACCCAAACCAAACAAAGCCATGCCAGGTGAGGTATCTGCCTCTGAGCAGGAGAGTTTACTCACCATTTTGTTCACTGTGGCTGCAGAAGTCATGCTTAACACTGACCCATGGGCTTGGCTGGGATTCTGCTAGAACAGCACAAATACGCAAGCAAACTGCTTTCCTGCACCTTGCAGCCTGTCCTGTCTCTAATCTCCTCTTGGGGTTCTTTATAAAGGTTCTCTTAGTACTGACTAGAACAAAAAAGCTTGTAAGACACAAAAAAATAAATATACACATTGGAGCCACACTAAAGAATCCTTGGCGTCACATGGATAAAGGTCAGGAAACACAAAAACTTATGGTTCCCATAGTAATGCTAATCCAACCATACTGCACATCCTTGTGTATTTAATGGTACACATTGAAAAGAAAAACCTTCATCTACCAATGCTTAAAAGGTTTCTGATTAGGTAAAGGCACTTGAACACCAACCCCCACACACAACATTTATTGTTCTGAGCGGTGGATTTTCAGATCGAATTGGATTAAGCCAAACTAAGCATCACTGTAGCTCCCCATATCTAGGGCAATAGCAAGAGCTCTCAAGCATGATTACAGACTGAACATTATTTGTCCAACCTGAATAGAGGAAAGGGATCCAGGCGTCAGAATGGGTTGAGTCACCAAATCGCAGTCGGCGCAGATTCTGCACTTGGATGCAGCAGGGAGGGGGTAAGCAGGGAGGGGAGAGGATGACTGACCAAGCCCCAGACACCCATAACCAGTAAATGTTAGTCCACTTCTATAAACACTCATTTACTTGATACTGATAGCCTGAAATATCCTCCTACCTAGTATCCCACCCCAAAACTCTGGAAACAGGTTGTGAGTGAACTACAGCCGTGCTGACCTTCCTCCGGCACAAATCTGTGTATTCTCTGCTCTCCAGGCTCCTGAGGTCTTACCTTCATGCTTTACATAACGCCTGCACCACTCTTCCAAGAGGGAACAGCTACAAGTGGTCCATTTGCATTTAGCAGCTCTGACTGAGCAACCAGATTTGCATCAGAAGCGAAGGACTCTTTGTGCCATAGGAAACACATTAAATCAAAAAGGGTTTGAGCACCTATACTGGAACAGAGGATTACTCCTCTGGTTACATGTCTGGGAGAAAGGAAGGCAGAGCAGATATCCTGTACTCCTTTAAGAGGCAAAGAGGGTGAGGAAGAAGGAAGGTAGCTCTCAAGCACAGCAGCAAAGCAGGCAGTGGAAGAAATGTGTATATATGGGCATCCACATGTGTCCTTTTCCACCTGCAATAAAATTGAAATATTTTCCTAGTTCCCATGATCTCAGACAGAAGGGCACATTTCAGGACAACAGGCATCTTTGAACTTCAAAAACCAGAGAGGTGAAGAGAGAGACACTGCTTCTGAAGATGTTCTCAGCCCTGCTCGATACCAGGGCACCCACACAGCCCTGCTCATGGAGCAGCGTCAACACCAGAGTCCTCAAGAGGGCACAGGAACACTCAGCAGAATTCCTTCTGCCCACAGGGTTACTGGATGCCGGTTCCTTTATTCATATCCATCAGCCCCTTGCTCTCCCTATCCCTTGGGGTGCACTCACCTTCCCTTTTGTGCTCCAGCATCAAGTCTCCATGTTTTAAAGAGGCTTTGCAACCCTCCCCGTAGCTGCAAAGCCTGGCTACTCCTTTGAGCTGCACAAATTCCAGCTGGCATCTAGCCACACCTGCCAAGGGTAACAAGGATTTGGTCACGCTTTATCTTATCTAAGCAATGACGACGCTTGTCTTGCTTCTTGGGCAAAGCTCAGGAGCTCTGAACCTGCCAAAGAGGGGAGCTGGGCAGAGGCCAGGAGCTTCAGCCTGCAGCAATGCACCCCAGAGCAGGATGGCTCTGCTGGCCTGCCTGTCCCACCCACAAGAAACAGGCACTTAGTCCACAAACAAGAACTGTGGAGAAAATAAGGGTCAGCAAAATGTACAATTCTCATCTCACCACCACCTCAGGTGCTAGCACAGGCATACAGCTCCCCTTCCCTAAAAACAGTACAGCCACACTAGACACTTGCCAATAGACAAGGTGCTATTTTACAGGGAATCTGGACCACTTGTCCAGAGAGAAGACTTCAGTATCTGTCCTGCTGTCAACCTACAGATCACCTACAGCTTCAATTCACAGCTGGAGATGAGCTTGGTTTCCTCCTTGTCATTTTATAGAGGGAGAAGAAGGGAAACTGAGGCAGATAAAAGCATTACTCTTACTCACAAGATGTTTTGCTGAATTAGGCGGAGAAGGATTCAGTTACTCTAGCAGTGAGAGCCACCAAGTTCCTGTATTATGTGCCATATCTGCCTCTCTGCACCTCTCCACAGCTCCCACCATGCTCACCCAAGGCTTTACAGCTAGCCTGCAATCTCCTTCTAACCCTCCTTTTCCAGAGGCTGGACTCACCCAGCCATTTCCAAACCTAGCTGGATTTTTCCCAAGAGGTTTGTCTTCCATAGCCTAAATTATCTATTTATGCATTCCACAATTTTATTTTAAACACCACACAGCTCTATTACTCCAAAGGTCTGCAGATATCCTGCTTGTTGTTCATTGGAAGAACTTGAGATAGGAAGCAATAAACAGTTGGATGTTGTTACCTTGATTGCACAGCTACAACAACTAGGCATTTTTCAAGCCTTCACTGCATTGCTTTAGCCTACCTCCAACACACATGCTAAAGGCGAATTATTTCAAAAAAAGCTGTAGGATAGGTCTCAAGAACCTTGTTCATAGTCTCATCTCCTCTTCAGAAACACAGGTTGCCTCAGCCCATGACACATCACCTGCTGTGAGCAGGGACACCTTTGCATCTGCCAGGATCTTACCAACAACCCAAGTTCAGGCCAGCCTCAAGCCCACACCGTGCATGGCTCCCAATCACATTTTTAGAGGTCTCCTACCATCCTCCGAACAACACAAACCTTTCCTGCAGGACTTTTCAGGTACGTGTAATCCTCAAACATCCTTCTGAACCAGGCACGCCCTTCCACATAGACAGGGCCAGTAACTGGGGCAGAAAAGTGATATGAAGTCTCCTACCAGCACAGAGATTAAAACTACAGAAGGAGAGGCAACAACTCCTCCTTCAGATGACATCACTGCTAAATTAACTGCACTCACACACTTCACTAAATAGAAAGCAGGGATGTTACAAGCCTCCTTGCTCTCAGTTTTATTACATGACAGATTTTCTTCCAGTTATGCCAAGCAGACGAGAATACTGTACCCTTCCAAAGCATCGTACCATACCCCATTTCCTCCAAAACAAACCTGTGATTAAAGCCACAGTCTCTAAGAGCACAAGACAGTATTTGTTCCTGCTTTAGTGCTCTGTGACACATGGTTAAGAGAAAAGCACTTGGTTAAAAAGTACACAGGGCTTCCCAATCATGTTACCCCAACCTGAACGAAGCACAGGGAAGCTCACCATGGCTCCAGACTTCATTTGAAAGTCCACAGTACCACAACCTACACACAACCCAACACCCACAGCTATTTTTGGCACTGTTTTCTCTCAAAGCTCACAATATTTGTTACTGTGCTTGAGGCACCCAGGTCCTGCAGTCCAGTGAAATACTGAGACTCAAGCATTTCTTGGAAGCTTATACAGACACGTAGGCAGAAATCTCTAAGACAATCAGAAATGAGCACGAGGAAGCCAATTAAGAATTTAAAAAAAAAAAAATTATGTCATTCCATGGCATTTTTTTTTTTTAATGTCTGGCTGATGGTTTTTAAAAGCCTAGGGCTGGCAAACCTTTTGAACATATGGCTTGAGGAGAGCACACGGTGCTCCTTGCCACAGCAGAAGCACATGGGAATACTTAGTAGATCCACCCCAGTGCTCCTTGTCCAGCTGCAGAGGTCAGGTTTGCTTTGCTGAGCAATTAGGGCCATGCAAGGGAAATCCTTCTTGGCATCAGGCAAGAAATTAAAGGTTCAGGACACAGGATGGGGAAAAGAGAACATTGACAGAAAACATTAAGGGGGTAATCAGAACATCCACAGCACCTCTCCTTCAAGCTACTGGGCTACAGATACCTCAAAGAATGCGCAGTGACAAAGGACAGAAAGCCTTAATAATTGTTGCTATTCTGCTCTTCTGGTAGGACAACAAAATGAATCATTCCAGATTCAGACAAACAAAGTAAATCAATTATTTCCACCTCAGCTTTTATACAGACAGCAAGCCAAGGCATCTGTCAGGAACAAGATGGCTGCTCCACCCAGCGGAGGAGGGCACATTGGCTACAGCTGAAGTTTCTTATCACTGTCCTTGAATCCAGGATGAGCTTCTGCAAACAGGCAAGGAGAAGAGGGAGAATTAAGGCCCCAGAGCAGCCTTATGAAATCAAACAGATTTAGACAGTGAGTAGCTATATTATGGAAATCAAACCTAGTTTATTGTACATAAGGATCAATATCCTCAAAGCTCTCTGACCATGAAGAACACTGTGCATGGAACTGTGTCCATGTGACTGCTGTTACTGTCAATTGTCCTCACCCCATCAGTTTATTCTCTGAGGCTGCCTGGCAAAGTCACGAGGAACACCAGTCCCCAGCACTGTCTGCATGCTGCTAAAGACAGCCTCACATGAAGTCCTCCTTTGCAATACCATCTTCAGATCAGTATAGCGTTTTGATTCATTAGATGCATTAGACTGGGCTGAGAATAGAAATTTTCCTATCTGATGGTAACAACACAGCTGAGCAGACTTTCCAATTGGACAGT